GATTGGTAGTTGTCCATTGATTAGATACTGTGCATAGTTCAGAAAACGTTTCGGCGATATTGCAACTGAGTATAGCAAACAGCAAGATGTTTACCCAAAACCGCATCGCTAAAACATACGCCTATTTATAGATATTATAATATTTGTGTTTGTAATTTTTTTTTTTTTTTTTGTAATTTAGCGAAAAATAACTGTAAAGATTTGATATTTTCACGGATTATACTCTTGCCAAAAATGCCGGCGTTTTTTAAGTTAATATAAAAACATACTGTCTGAAATATTGGTGATTTTTTTTTTTTGTATTTTTTAAATACACTTATGAGTTTTTTGTAAGACGGCGACGATACATTGTTGGTTACAAAAGAAAAAAAAAGAATTTCAATTACAATTGATAATACTACACTCCCTTCAGACATATTAAGGGTAGTACAATGTTATATGCAACATCGAGTACATTGTACCCTACATACAGGTAATAATAATAATAGTAATAATTGCCTATACGCGCGTGCAGATCATTTGAACGGTTTCATTTTCGTATATTTGATTACTGGTGAAGCGGTACATCGAATATAGTGTATTAATATTGCTATTTAAGTATAAAGAGATGGTTTTTTTTTTTTTTAACATTTTATAATTGCCCGTGACGATACTTACAGCAAATTTTAAAGGTGCATAAAATTATACACATATATAACTAAGTATAATACGCATAAATATATTAAAATATACTAAATTGCTAACCGTAATTATGCAAACAACACAAACATCATAATGCTGTATGTGAATATATAATATTCGCATTAATAAAGGATTGTATAGCGCGATCAGAGGGTGAGAGTGAGAGAGAGGGGGACAGAGAGAGATTTTAATTTAATATGTGTATAATCGACACATGCAATTACCAAAAAAACAGTGTAAAACCATATACGAACGATGTATAAAAAACCCCACATAGTTATAGTTTACTCGAAAAAATAGCTTATGGACAGAACACCACTGAATCCACCGACCATACGGATTTTTATAATAATATTGCGCGAAGTTGTCGATCGGCACATAAATACAAAAAAAAAAAAAAAAAAAAAAAAAAAAAACATTATTATTTATTGACTAGTTGTAATAATGCAAATATAATGCACGTTATCAGTGGCGGCTCGTGGTAGTTTGATGCGGTAGCGCGATAAAATTTCTTTTTCGAGGCAGTCGCCTTATCTACGGATACTAAAATATGTGATTTCGTACATCCGTTGGCTGTTAATGGAAATGTGAAATATATGCAATATATACGCATATTATGTGTGCACAATTATGTAGATGTGTGTATAATACAAATGTCCACTTAAACGAAAAATATCTTAACTGATTAGATAGGATTTTGTCTGACAGATATTATCTTATCGGAAACCAGACAATATTATCGTATCGGTGAAATATTCTACACTCACATTTTTTGTGAGTCGCCCCCCCCCCCTCCCGAAAATGTGCGACGAGTATATTATTGTACGCGTATGGTCCCGCTGTGCTATTTAGATATAGTGTAATACACGTACAATGGAAACAGGTTTTTTTTTTTTTGTGTGTGTGTGTGTGCGCGCGCCACAGACCGCCGCATAATACACCAGGAACGCCTGTATTCGATTTTTAGATTATTCGTATCGCATTTGAACTGCCGAATTAAGATGATATTTTTCAAATATTATCATTTTCCAATAGAATTTTGAATTATTCAAATTATTTCGAAAGAAATAAAAAAAAAAAAAAAAAACTACAACGGTTATTATTTACTATAACAAGTATGGAAATGTAAATTTTATTTTATTTTAAAATGTACGTATAGGGATTGCGATCGCACCATCGCACCTCAGTGCGAGCCGCCACTGTATATTATGTATAAACAATAATAAACAGTATATTATACTAACGTTTTGTTTTTTTTTTAACGAGTATAGAAATTAAAATTAAAACGTTTCCGGTTGGACAACAATTATTATTCTGGTTATTTAATATTTTTTCAAAAATTAAATTAAAGTGTCCAGAACAATTCATCAAGACAAATGAAATGTTTAGATAACTTGAAATTATACACCTATAGGTTTGATAAACTGATAGTTTTTGGACCGAGTAGGTTTTGCCAAAAGCTGTGTACGCGGTTCTGAATTTAAATGCCCTTTTTGGACACCTTTTACCGAAATTTGAGTGTGTGTGATTATGGGGAGATGGGGGTAATGAGTAATGATTTTTTTGAGCCTGACCGTAAATTCGTATAAGTGTATAATTTAAAATTACAACTAAGGAATTACATCGCTTTAATTATCGGATATTCGCAATGTTGTTATAATGTATATTACGGTACCTACCCATAGTACGACTGATGGGCACACTGTCTCAAATTCAATCGGAAATAACTGTACGCGAATAGATAAATACAATTGGCCATCAACTGCATTCGGTACCGTACAGATCGAACGAAAAACCAAAAAATAAGCTTCGCATCACTATAAACATAATATAATAATAATATTTTACACGCACTTACCTTTGTTGCGGTATGAATATGGTGAACTTTTATATAACAGTGCGTCGATGCCGTGGTTAATGTCGCTGTGTCCGATGTACCGTCATGGAAATTATTATAAGATGGAAGATCGCGACACTACCTGCAATGCACTGTTGTACCTGTAGGATGATGCCTAACCTAGAACTTTTAAAGCTGTATAGCTATACAGCCCGTATAGCTGTTTGGAAAAGAATTTTTAAATTTCAAAGCTGTCACGGGACAAAATGTCTAAAGGTTAACAAAACCACCGAAAACACACAACACCCGCCTATTGTGCGTTGTTGTGTCTACAACCCTCCCCCAAAAAAAAAAAAAAAAAATCATTAACACCTGTCTTAAATGATTATAAAATACAACCGATTTTGTCAGTAATCAGTAATCGTGCGTAAAATAATACCTATATTATAATTTGGAAGTACACTCGTGGAGTACACTGAACCGCCATTCGTATAGTGTTTTACTGTTGGTTTTTTATGCTGTATATAATCCACAGCGATTTCACAAAACGCCGCATAAATAACGTGTGCGTTCCTACGAGTTCAGCAACCGCTAGATTTTACCGTTCCCAAACACAGCTGTTGACCAATCCTCTGGAGTCGAAGTCGTCAATCGGATGGCTTCATCAGCGAGCCGATATTTTACGACACGGAAGGGTGTTTAACCAGATTGGTGTGACAAACGCACTCTGCGCGCCAAAATCAAAACTAATTTATCGGTACATACGGTTTGTTTACTCATATTATCCGTATTGGAAAATGAAAAAGAAACCGTTTAAAACGCGAATGAATAACGATACTCGCGATTCGTATGGAAAACGATAGGAATAAAATATCGGCGATTGCGGCCGATGGGTAACGTTAAATTGCGGTATTGAAAAATTCGCCGGATTAACGAAAGTGTTTCGGGAACCCGCGGATGATGACGTTGTGTGGGCGGCATTCGAATAGCGCAAACAGAACATCGAATCCGATTCTAAATCACCGCGGTACGTACCGACATTTCCGCTCTAATATTAATGCGTTTTCGTTTTTCTCCGGGCGCGGTTTAAACGGAATGCCATTCCGGGTTGTTGATCGTTCCGTTTGCACGGGCAATGCGAATGAGCGCGCCCGCGAGAACAACGACCGCATCGTACAGTAAACGTCTACGCGCCCGGTGCACGGCCCGAAGAGCCGTAGGCGCGGCCGAACGGCACGGGTGTACACTCCTCCGGACGGCGCACGCCGCCCCCCCTACCCCCCCCCACCCACCCGTAACGCTGTACGACGTTAAACGTTGAATAAAAAAAGTATTCAGCAACGGTCGAAAACGGCTCGTCCCTCGGTCGGGTAGCCGCGCGGTCACACGTTTTATGATTTTTTACGCGGTTGAGAAATTCGTACGAGCACCGGCCGTTGTCGTACCGATACGATTTACATTCGCGGTACTGCCGATCGGCGATAATCTAATCGGGCGGTGAGAACGGACGGCGCGTGTCGGCGATACGAACGATACCGCGTTTTCCCGCGCGCTTTCAATGCCGCCCGTCCTCGGAAGGAACGCGCTCAAATAACGAGAACGATTCAAACAGCGGGTGTTTTTTTATTATACCGGCGCTACCTGCGCCACGATGTCCGTTTGTTTGCGCTGCCGACCGCCGTAACTCGATACGGAAACCCCGCGATAATTGTGCCGCGTGCGTTTAAAGTAATCGGTTTAATCACGGTCGCTTGACGCTTCGTCGTTACTGTCGAAGGGTTTAGGGGATTCGAACATTTTTCACGTGCAATTTAGATTTCGACGCTGTTTGATTTTCGTTACGTTTTTATGTATGATGTTGTTTACGCCGTTTATGTTTTTTTTTTTTTTTTTTATTATTTAATAAAAAGCATATCCGTCCAAATAACTGTGTTCCTATAAGTTCTAACGTCCAACGAACTCAACACTCCCGTCACAAGCTCGGCATACGGAGAGTGTGTTGCGCGTTTCTAGTACGCGCACTAAACTAATTTTGCCCGACAAACAAATACAATTGTTCGGCCGAGCTGAAAACCTTGGTTTTGGGTTAGGTCGGATTTAACTATTGTTATTAGTTTTTTCGTATATTTTATCAACGATTAGTGCATATTTAGGCGTTTATGTACGCATATTCGTTTATGTATGCGATTTCAAGAGCGTATATAATTGCGCTCGTAACCTTTTTTTTTTTTTTTTTTTTTTTTT